AAAAAAGAGTTTTTTTGGGGAATTTGGGTTGACCAAGCCAGAAATTTAAACAAGATGGTTTATAAAGTGGTTTTTTAAAAATTTTCCCCCCAAAAAATAAATTGAAAGAATATATATAATATATATATTAAAAATATATATATATATTTTATATAAAATATATATATTCCTCTCCCCTTTTTCTCTCTGTTCCCTTCCCCCTCTGTCTCTCTCCTCTCTCTCTCCTTTTTCTCATTTTCTCTCTTCTCCTCTCTCGTCTTTTCCCTCTCCCCTCCCCTCTCCTTCTTTATCCCCCCCCTCTCTCTCTCTTCTCCCCTTCCCTCTCTTCTCTCTTTTTCCTCTGTCCCCTCTTTTGTTTACTCTTCTTTTCCAGTCTGTCTCTCTCTCTCTCTCTCTCCCCATCCCCCCTCTTTTCCTCTCTCCCTCTCTCTTCGTCTCCCCCTCTCTCTCATCTCTTCTCTTCCCCTTCCCCTTCCTCTTTTCCCCTCCTTGGCCCCCTCTCTTCTCGTCTCTCTCTCTCTCTCTTCTCCTTTTCTTTTCGCTCTCTCCTTCTCTCTCTTCTCTCACTCCTCTTCTCTCTCTTTTCTCTCTTCCCCCTTTTCTTTTCCTGTCTCTCTCTGTCTCTCTTTTCTCTCTCCCCTGTCCCCTTCTCTCTCCTTCTCTCTTTTCTTCCCCCCTCCTCTCTTTTTTCTGCTCTCTCTCCTCTCTTCTTTTCTTCCTCCATCCCCTCTTCTCTGTCTCTTCTCTCTTCTTTCTCTCTTCTTCTCTCCCCTCTCTCTGTCTCCTTTCCCCTCCCCTCCCCGTCTCTCTCTCTCTTTTGTCTCCTTTTTCCCGCCTTTTTTTTGCCCCCCTTTTGTCTCTCTCTCTCTCTCACCCCCCTCTTCCCCTCTTTTTTCTTTCCCTCCTCCCCCTTTTCTCTCTCTCTCTTCTTCTTCCTCCTTTTCTCTCTCTCTTTTCCCTTTTTTTTTTTTTTTTTTTTTTTTTTTTTTTTTTTTTTTATATTTATACACAGGGTTTTACAAGGGTTTAGGTCCCCACTTTTTTGACAGCTTAAAATTTTCGGTTAAGGGTTCCTAACTTTAAAGGCAACCTAAAAGCTGTTTAAACCCACATCAGCTCATTTGAAAGCATTTTTTTATTTTTTTTTTTTTTATGGGCATACAAGTACGGGACAGGGTGAAGTTTTGGGGCCATTTTGTGGGCCCGCATTTTTTAATTTTTATCAACTACTTTATCTCTTTTAAATCAAATTTCTGTACGAATTGTTTTCCCTAACCAATCCCCTCCTGGGTTTTGTATGATCTCAATGGAGTGATGTTCTGGAGAAAGGGGACAGCCCAAATGAATTGCTGCTTTTTTTGCCCTCTTGTGGCATAAAAGCTTGTTTCAACGCTGTCCCCCGAAGGGATCCAAGTGTGGTATTTTGGGCAATAAATTTTTGGGCCCCTTTGTACATAACATTAAAAAGGGCCCCCCACATCCCTCCTATGTTGAAGGCTCCCGCTGAAATGACAAACTAAACCAGGGTGGGTCCAGGCCCCAAGTAGACGGGCTTTTCTCCTTTTTCCCCACTCTGTCAACAGTCGCAGAGAGAGGGGGGGGAGGCAAACCAAGAAAGTGGAGCATACCAAGGGCGAGCGTACTTGTTTCCTCGTACAGGGGTCATGCAAAACCCCCACTGTCAAGCAGATGGGATACGGCGAAATGCTCTAAGCTTTTCCCGCTGCCTTTTTTGCAAGATTTATAACATTTGGGTTTTTCATGGTTTGCTTGGATCCAAATTTCACCCCCAAGGAAAATCAACTTCTTCTCCAGGTCCAACATCCCTCCCATTCAATTTTTAAATACTGCACCAGCATTACCCCCCCGGTGCCTAGAGACATCATCATTTGCGTTTTCTCAGGTGCAAATGTTACTTGCCATTTTGTTTCCCCAAGCTTATATAGCTCTCCCGCTGGTGATTGAATAGCTTTGAGCAGCGGCATTTCTTCTCTTTTGGGTAAGTGAAAAGTCAGTGTACATTTGTCTGCATATCATGTTTATTTCTGGGATGAAAATGAAGAAGGGCGGGTTTAAGAAAACATTCCATAACAATGGGGCCCAGCAAGCTTCCTTTTGGAACACTTGCCCCAGTAGGATGTCTTGCTGATTCTGTTCCACTGAGAACTACCCTTAAAGATCTACCATGAGGTAATCACTGAGGAGACATAAGAGCCTGCAGTTCCCATATTGTCAAAGTACCACACTTGGATCCACTTCAAGGACAGCTTGAAGCAAGCTTTTATACCACAAGATGGGCAGAAAGCAGCAACTTCACTCTGGCTGTACCCTTCTGGTCATACTTTCAAATGTCTGTATTAGCAGAGCACCATAAAGTGGGGCCCTACTATGTATGGAACTGACAAAATTTACTGCAGCATATGTTGTACATCTGTTAAAAGAGTGATAGCTAATGATTTCTGTCTCTGAGTCACTCTACCTTGGTGGGAAATAGCCATTGTGATACAAAAATAAAAAAAGCTAATTAAAAATATTTCTCCACAGTTTGTTTTTCCTTCGGACATATCTCCTGAGCCTCCAGAGAAGCCACCACGACCGGACAAGAATCACAATCATGAGGATCCATCCCATTTATGAAAATACAGACATGAAGGGTTAAAATCACAATACTGTGACTGAAGGAAATTGCTACATGCCCACAATTTTTATTACCAATTTGTGGTCTTGTGTGATACAATTTAAACATATTAGATCACCAAACTAGGAAGAAAGGAATTGGTTTGAAAAAAATGTCATGAGTACAAGAAAAAAAAGTGTCTCTCTGTATTCATCTATATGTGACTGCAGGAGTCAAGTAATGTTAAAACAAAGTGTTAATCATTACAAGGAAAATTTAGTGACTCCTTTAAGAGGCTATGAGAGCAGGAAGCAAGTTCATTAGTGATTTCTTACACAAATGTTTGTTGGAAAGGCAAGTGCTAAAGTACACTAGTTTGGCTGTGTCATTTTTAAGATGCAGGTCACTGCCACTGTTACTGCTACCTATGACACAAACATTTTTGTAGTAGGTAATAATTTGTTATTCCTATTTTGCTTTTCATGACAAAGAAATAATAGTATGGATAAAATTAGAAAGATAAGCACACTGACTGTAATTTGTAATTATATTTTGATAAATATTTACAAAGATAAAAATCTTTATTATGCATACACTGCATACATTGTTGAGTTTGGCTATGAATTTTTATTTTTCTACATGCCAGAAATAATTTGCATGAGAGGGGCAAAGATTTATAAAGCATTCTAGACTTATACTTTTCCATTGCATCAGTAAGTCTGTAGTCTTTTTTACCAGCTGAGACTGTGTTGTGTAAAGAACATAAAAGCCAAGTACAATGATTTAATTAGGTATTTGTAACATACCGTACACTCCCTTCAGAGTATGTTAGCTGCCACTTTGAATTCTCATACTTCATTAAGAGTTGTAAATTCATGGTACAGTATTGAGCCTGGATATTCACCTCAGTGAGTGGGAATTAACAGCTTTGCTCATTCTTTCAAATGTATAGTATTTTTGATCAGCTACTATTTGTTTATAATAATTTCATATTAAGTGATGTCTACTTCTTTTGCTAAGTTCAGTTGCCCATTATTTTGTACATGTATGCTATTCAGGAAAATTTATATACCTTAATGATCTGTGTGTAAAGAATGGTTCTTTATATTTTATTATTAAGATTAACTTTTTAATATTCAACCAGATTTAGTTCAGTCCATATCAGTTGTATTATTTCATTCATAACTCATAGATTTGTCATTGCTTGTACTCTGTAAATATCTTCAGTAGTATTACACATTTTGTAATTGACTTGGTTGTCAATGAGAAAACCACCATTATCTTAATCTTGCCAAGGTTGATAGGCACAGAAAGATAAAATTATTATATGCTTATTACTAGTGATGGTTTATTCTTTAGATGTTAAATAAGAAGGTTAAATTTTCTTAGCAGTAAATTGAAACATTTAAAGAATCTTGTGGTTCAGTTCAAGAATGTCATGAAAGTGCCATATGAATGAACTTGTTTGCATCTCTTGCTAATCAAAATTTTAGCATAATTGTATGGTAATTATTATTATTACTTAGATGGTTAGATAAAATGAGCCAAAGAACGAGGGTCCAACATTTTTTATAAGCATTCTGTATAAATCTTAAGTATAATGGGTAAAGAAAGGTGCCATTAACTTTTTTCTCTGTTGCTGCTTTCTCTTGTACTATCCAGCAAAGAATACTTTGTATTTCTTTAACATATTCTGCCAAGTTTTTGATTAAATTCTTGCTTCTGATTGGTTAGGATGTGCATTTTTGTAACTTTATTGACTAAGGTCAAGTGGTATGATATGGTCTGCTGTTGCAATACTTCTACTGGCAGATTTATGAAACAGTTTTTGAAGAATATTGTTTATTCAAGACATTACAGCTTTGCAAAAATACATCACAAACAAAATCACTTAATCTTGTTTATTTTAGGAAGGGGTATGATACAAGACTATAATATCTTGGGGCTGCCAAAATTTACATTTTAGAATTTGGGTTTAGTCATGCATAGATGAGGTTGTTGACATTCCTTATGTTTTACTCGTTCCAGTTCAACTACATGAAAAGTGGTAAAAATTTATATAGAGTGGTCCATATATTTTTGCCTCCTTATTGTTTTACCATCAAGTATTTTTTTTAAACAACATTTGGCTCTAGATTTTTTCATGTAAATAAAGATTGATAAATGATACATTTAATTTTTCCTCTTTATAGTGTACTGGTATGGTACTGTAATGACTGTATTTTAGCATTCTTTTTTATTAATAGTCATTTGTTGTTATAAAATATATGTGGTGGGTAAATTTAAAATTACTCTTAAATTCCTGTTATTTGCATTGTTATGATTTGAACATGACTCCTCACCTCCCACTCTTTCATTTGCTCCTCTCCCTCCCTCCTGACCCCTATCCTCTTTTATTTCTCTTCCCTTCTCTTTGCCCTGCCTCCTTTCTTCTATATTCTTTCTCTTCCTCTTCTGTACCCTCTCTTCTCTTCCCAGTGGGAAACTGTTTAACATGATTTTGGGTAAGGGCTTTATCACATATCTTGAGCACTGGAATAGTCTTCCACTGAAATAGTTAGTGCCAAATTAATTTAGTCCTTCAAGAATCAGTTAGACATCTTGCAAATTTGGGATTCTAGTAGTCACAGTCCACTCTAGGCAGTGGCCACTGGCACTCTGGTAGAAATTCTGGAACTCATCAGAATATCTATTTGGATGTGGTCCACCCAGAACACAGTATTTAGAAGTAGAATTAGTGGTAGACTGATAATGGAGTAGTGTTATTACTGTTGCAGTAGCAGTAGTTACAGCCCATCCACTTGTCTTTCCTACTGAATATCAATGCCTGCTACACTCATGTAGTGTGAGTTTTCTCTGCTTCCATGGAGAAAGGGGAGAGCAACTGATTAATCATGTTTGCTGCAGCTATCTAGAAAATAGTAGATAGTCCTCCATTGAGATTAGAGAAGATAGTCCTTTGTTGATGGCTTTGGTCTGAGCTGTAGTCTCTCTCTTTACTTCCTTTTCTTTCTTCACTGCCTTCCTCTTCCTCTCCTCTCTTTTCATTCCTCTCATTTCATTCTATTAACTGGTAATTTCTTAAATTTGTCAGATCAGTTACCAGCATCCAGTTAAAATTTGAAAAGAGGTGTACATTGTGGTACGTATTCTTATTATGTAATGTGTAAGATATTTAATTCTAATTATTTTTCCTTGATGTGCTGTTACTAAACCATTCTCATAAGTTTGTAAGCTTGAGTCTGTTTTTCTGTAACCATCAAATATAATTTCCTGCAAAGTTAAAACATGTTATAATAATACTTGAATGGAGGTAAATTCATTAATATCTTCATGTTATTGTTGATCATGTAAAAGTATATGGAAGTTTGGTGTTTTGTCCATCCAATTTTCTCCTTTCTAGACTTTTCACCGTGCACTAGTTAAAAGTTACAGCTAGCAGTGTCTGTAACATAGCAATGTCAAAATACAGTTTGTTCATGAAATCCTACTATAAATTTGTCTGCCAGGTTCACTTTAGGTATGCTCATCAGGTCTACTTGAGGTATATCTAATAGTCTACTTGAGGTCTATCTACTAGGTTTACTTGAGACCTGTCAGGTTCATTTGATGTTGATGTGTGCCAGGTCCATTTTAGGTCTCAGCTAGGTCCACTTTGAGGTCTGCTGCCAGGTCTACTTGACATCTGTCTGCCAGGTCCATTTGATGTCTGTTTGCCAGGTTCATTTGATATCTGTGTGAGAGAGATCCACTTTAGTTCTCAGATAGGTCCACTTGAGGTTTGTCTGCCAGGCCCACTTGACTTTTGTCTGCCAAGTTGAGATGATGTGTATGTGTGTCCACTTTAAGTCTACCAGATCCACTTAAGCTCTGTCTGCTAGGCCCACTTGACATCTGTCTGCCAGGTTCATTTGATGTCTTTGTGTGCTGGGTCCACTTTTGGTCTCTGCCAGATCCACTTGAGATCTGTCTACTAGGTCTACTTGAAATTTGGCTAAGATGTATTTTGGGGTAAAAAAAATTATGTACTTTATTTAGATTAATGCTAGAATATCATCAGCATAAGTATAATTATTAATATTTTTTTTTTTTTTCAATTAGTAATTCTGAATATTATCACTTATTTTTACATTCGAAAAGCAACATATGATTAAAATAGAACTTATTTAAGAAATATATATGTAATCATAAAATTAACCATTTCTGGTAATTACAAATGAGAGGAAAATATCCCTGTTGTATTTTTAAAGTGCACTAGTTATAATTTATTCATTTGCACATCTCAACCAGATTTCTTTCTAATACGTTGTATTTTTATTGAATGTCACAGCAAGCAAAATGGTTAAAAATTTCTTGCAAAAGTAAATGTTCATTTTAAGTAAACGTTGTGTTAAACTTAAGAAATAGTTTTTTCTGTGTAATGTGTTATTTGGTGTCACCCAGTCACATTTATAGCCTTTTGAAATTGTGTGCATATATGTTCATTTAATGTAACTTAAAAATTATAAGCCTTTTAACTTTTGTGATCATGCATTACTGTCACAAACAGTATTTTATTTTTCCTCTTGTATTCATTCAGCAAGCTGTGATAATAAGACTTCAGTGTGGGTTACCCTGTCTTAAACATAGCCATTACTGGGTGTAATTAAGCAAACTTGGTTACCATTCAGCTCTGGTTAATTTTATATTTTAGAATAATGCATTGCGGGTTTAGCCCCTTTTTTTTATGTTAGGTATATAATTGGTTTGGAAAAAGGAAACAGTTTTGTTCTTGTCTGATTTGCTTCTTTGTATATGGTTTACAAAAATAGAGATTTGATGTAAAATCTCATAAATTTATTTGATATTCCTTCAGAAAAAAAATTCTAAATGGTGCATGGCTATGATTGCCAGATTATTATCAATATTATTATTTTTTTTATTATAATTTTTTTTAAGAATAAGTACAAAACAAAAGCTTTGAAGCTGCACAAACTAAGAGTGCCATAGAATATTTTTTACAGAAGAGGAGGGATTGTATTTTTGTATGGTGCTGTATAACCAAAGGAGATGTTTGTATAAGAGGAACACATCTTGCAGGATGATCACTGTACATCACTTCCTGTATTAATGCAGATTGTGTTAATCGGAAATTTTATTAAACAATGTTAGTTTCGTATACATTTTTTTTTTGTTTTCATGGCATATTAACTGTATAAAAGATATAAAGCACAGTTTGAATATCCAGAATGTTAAGTGCTGGTTCATTCAGTTTCTGGATTATGTAGGCAGTGATGCAAAAACCAGGTTTCCCTTTAATCAAAAGGGGGTTATGAATAACGTGTAATTAGAATGTTTTATACTTTGTTTAAATAGAATTATAATATATGGATTTGCCGGGTGTTTTCAGTAGTTGTTTTTTTTTCGGTTTATATAATTGATACTTGGGAGAAGAGATGTGTTCCCAACAAAAATGCTGTCTTCAGTTAATTAAAAAAGATAAGAAAACAATAGAATTATTTCTTATATTTCTTGGGTTTGGAATTAGTACAATGTAAAGTCTTGTAAAAAGAGAGAGAGACAGGTGCTCATTGTAAGTTGTGAGTCTCATCGTAAAAGTTTAATATTGAACACTGGAAGCCTTACTGGTGTTTTCACTTCGAGAAGCTTGCAATACAGCAAAGTTTGGTCAAATTAAACAGATTTAAATTAAAAAACGTCATTAAATAGAATTAAGGGACTAGTTAAAACATGGCTGATCTCCCTGAAGGCCTCATTGGCTTTTAAAAAAAAAACAATACAAAGCTAGGAAAATTTAAAACAGTTGCCTTTTTGTTGCTTGTGACATAAAATTTTTAATTTCCTTTCTTTGGAAATTTTCCTCGTGAAAAAAGATACAAATTTCGATAGTATTATATGTGATTTTACATCGTAATTTTCTATAAAAAATTGAAAACAGTTATTTAAAAATTAAATTTTAAGTGTTTCAATAATAATTTTATTCTTAATTTTTTTTTAAGTTTTTTTAAATGACCTGGGCTTAATGTAATATTGTCTTTCAAATAAGGTACGTACTTATGCCCGTATGCAGAAACAACAGATTCTTAAAAATAAGATTATGATTTATTCAGTGTTTGATGTTTATTGTATCTATTTTTAATAATTCTGTAAACAATTAAACGCTTAAATTGTAATGATTTTATTATAAAATAATTTCCCGTAGAAATAAAACAAGCAAACTGAATTATTTATTTTGTGCATCGAAGTGTTTTGTGTTTGTTGGGAAAAGGAGTAGATCAGCCTTTGACCTCTTATATTTTTTCATGTACAACAGAAATTAATTTGAACTCCCATTTTTGATTGCTTGTTAGATTTCAATATGTACATGATCCTAGCTTTAGGTTAATTTTTAAAATTTTTTTCATTTTTACCCCACAACATTTCAGGCAGTCTAAAATTCCTTAGCTAGAGAGCAGTTGAATTACACATTCACCGTGCCCAGGCCTACACTCATGGAAAGTGTAATTTTCAAAAAAAAATTTTACCCCTTTATGGTGGGGGGGTCTTTTTCTTTAACACACCAGCCATCTATGGGTGGCAAAGACGAGGAAACAATTCCCTATTATTCCCTATCCCAGTTGCCTTCCAAAATTCTGTTGACCCCCTTTAGATAGAGTTGGAACATTGGCCCCCCTTCAAATGCTCATGATTTTCCCCCCCTGAGTCTGGTTAAAACAATTTTCCCCCGAATTCCCTTTATAATTGTAACTAATCTCACTAACTAGCCACAACCATAAAAAAAAATTTCTCCCTCGATTTTTTTATTCCGAACTACTTTTATCGACCCCTTGTTGATAGCCCCCCCCCCCTTTTACGCTTATTTCACCCAAATTTAAATTATAGTGCAGAGGGCCCCATTTACAGTGTTCCCTAAAAAGACATTTCAAAAATTTTGACCCAAAAAATCCTATAAAAAAAGCCCCCCCCATGCTTTCTAATTTACGTCCTCCACCCTTATTTATTTTCCCCCTTGCTGCAAACCCCCCTTTGACCAGACTCCCTCTTCAACATTTGACAGAACTATTATTACACAAATTTTTATCAATTTCCTTTACCTCCCCAAACCCCTCCCAAAATTTTTCCTTTTTTGTCATCTCCACCCTTATTATCCTTATCTTTTATCATATCTACCCCCCACCCCTGTAGACCCCGGTAGCTTTTGCGCCTTTTTTTTTTTTTTAAAAATTTTTTTGGCCCCAAAAAGGTTTCCACCCCTTTATGTTTAATGTTACAGAGGGCCCCTGATTCAAATTTCCCTTTGGGTTTAACCATAAAATTAGGGGGTTCGCAAGTGCACTTCATCTCAAGTGGGATAAACAAACATGAATACCCCTGTGTCATATTTCCCCACATGTATAATACACAATGTTGGGGAAATTTGGAAAAAAAAAGTTAAACCCCTTAAACTGTCCAAACAGATCTACGTTCCCTGCGTATGCCCAAAAGTAGATCTACGTTTTTTTAAATTTCAAAAATAACAAAAAAAAAAAAAGACAAAATTTTTTTAAAGTTTCAAAGTAAAAAAAGAAAAAGCTTACGTTTTTTTAAATATTTCAAATGTTGAAAAAACGAATCTACTTTTGGCCCGTTTAAGGGTTTAATTAAAAACCGATTACAAACACACGAGGCTAATGTAGGGGGAAAAAAAAAAGGCACATGAGATGGTTCAATTTTAAAATAAAAAAAATGCCCACACAGGGAAAAGAAAGTTTTTTACCCCGACAACTTTTTGCTCTACAATTTATTAAGTCAGTACAGATAGCCCATTGGAAAAGCCCACTTGAAACGAAAAATCACAGTAAAAACTTGTGTGCGTGTTTTTTTTTTTCTTACTATTGGCATAGATTTTTATCCCCTGTGTGTACAATCAGAGTCAAAATTTTGAAACACACGTTAATCACATAAATTTGGACCCCCCTATCTAACTTTGCTTGACTCCTTCAGCTGTTGCCTGTACAGTCCCCCGAAAGCAGGTGGTTCACTCTCCCTTGGCGCCTCCCGACTGTCTGCAGTGCACGGTTCAAGTCCTTACCCTGCCGTAGAAGATGTCTTCCCCGTACAGCTTTTTTCTTCGCGGTATGTGGTGGATCTGTGGGAAAAAAATGGGTCAAGAAGGAGTTACAAACAATGCATATCTAATAAGAAGAGATTCCAGGAAAACTAGAAAAAGGCTGCCCTTTTAAACATCCCCCGTTTCGGGTTTTTGTAACAAGTAGTCAATCCTGGTTTTCCAATTTCCATTAGAATTAATAAGATTAAGAGCTTTAGGATTTAATGGGGAGGTACAATAAAGAATTAAAAATTTTTAATTTATTAAAACAATAAAATTTTAGGCATTTAAAAAATTTAAAGTAAATTGTCAAAACAATCACTTCTCTATATAAGTAGTATTTTCTGAAGGCACATATCACATCTTTTTTGGCTTTTAAGTACCGTTGGAATTGTTTGCATTTAAAAACATAATACAAAATATACAAAAAGTTTGTGTGTAAGTGCTCTAATATTCCCGTACTCAAAATCGAGGCTTAGCGTTCTTTTTGATTATAAAATAATAATAATAATATGAGACACACAAACTCAGTACAATGTCGAAAATCACTAAGTCTAGGCTACGTTCTGTGAACAGTTACACAGAACCAACAACAAGAAAGCGACAGAGACGATCTTCCAACAAGTGCCAGCAAGGGAGAGCTAGAGAGGCACGTCTTGTTAGAAGCAATGTCTGTGAGCCAGCACAGGCCAGGCAGACTCTCCCTCCAGGTGAGGTGTGATCACCCCACCCTCATCATGTGACTCTCCGTGGACTGCTGCTGCCCAGCAACACAAGCCGGCAGCGAAACAAGCGGAGTGAAAATTACAGTAGTTAGACAATGCTGTCAGCTACTTAACACTCTCGGACTATGAGCACTGAATAATATATAAATGTTACATCCTACCTACCCCTCAGGGAAGGTTCCTTGATGTTGGTGAGGGGCTCTTCATTTAGGGAACTGGATCTATGCTCCAGTTCCCCGAATTAAGCCTGAATGCCTTCCACATCCTCCCCCCCCAGGCGCTGTATAATCCTACGGGTTTAGCACTTCCCCTTGATTATAATAATAATACATCCTACCTAATAATATAACTAAGTCAAATAATGATATAAAGTAGTAGGTTGGTAGACAGCAACCACCCAGGGAGGTACTACCGTCCTGCCAAGTGAGTGTAAAACGAAGCCTGTGATTGTTTTACATGATGGTAGGATTGCTGATGTCTTTTGTCTGTCTCATAAATATGCAAGATTACAGGCATGTCTTGCTACTTCTACTTACACTTAGGTCACACTAAACATACATGTACACATTTATTTATACACACTCATCTGAGTTTTCTTTGATTTTATCTTAATAGTTCTTGGTCTTATTAATTTTCCTATTATATCCATGGGGAAGTGGAATAAGAATCTTTCCTCTGTAAGCCATGCGTGTTGTAAAAGTCAACTAAAATGCCGGGAACAATGGGCTAGTAACCCCTTTTCCTGTAAAGATTACTAAAAAGAATAAGAAGAAGAAAATTGTCAAAGTGGGAAGTCTGAATGTGCGTGGATGTTGTGCAGATGATAAGAAAGAGATGATTGTGGATGTTATGAATGAGAAGAAGCTGGATGTCCTGGCTTTAAGTGAAACAAAGCTGAAGGGGGTAGGAGAGTTTCAGTGCAGAGGAATAAATGGGATTAGGTCGGGTTTCAAATAGAGTTAGAGCTAAAGAAGGAGTAGCAATAATGTTGAAGGATAAGCTATGGCAGGAAAAGAGGGACTATAAATGTATTAATTCAAGGATTATGTGGGAGTAAAATAAAGATTGGATGTGAAAAGTGGGTTATAATAAGCGTGTATGCACCTGGAGAAGAGAGAAGTGTAGAGGAGAGAGAGAGATTTTGGGAAATGTTGAGTGAATGCGTGGGGAGTTTTGAATCAAGTGTGAGAGTAATGGTGGTTGGGGATTTCAATGCTAAAGTGGGTAAAAATTTTTATGGAAGGAGTAGTAGGTAAATTTGGGGTGCCAGGGGTAAATGTAAATGGGGAGCCTTTAATTGAGCTATGTGTAGAAAGAAATTTGGTAATAAGTAATACATATTTTATGAAAAAGAGGATAAATAAATATACAAGGTATGATGTAGCACGTAATGAAAGTAGTTTATTAGATTATGTATTGGTGGATAAAAGGTTGATGGGTAGGCTCCAGGATGTACATGTTTATAGAGGGGCGACTGATATATCAGATCATTATTTAGTTGTAGCTACAGTTAGAGTAAGAGGTAGATGGGAAAAGAGGAAGGTGGCAACAACAAGTAAGAGGGAGGTGAAAGTGTATAAACTAAGGGAGGAGGAAGTTCGGGTGAGATATAAGCGACTATTGGCAGAAAGGTGGGCTAGTGCAAAGATGAGTAGTGGGGGGGTTGAAGAGGGTTGGAATAGTTTTAAAAATGCAGTATTAGAATGTGGGGCAGAAGTTTGTGGTTATAGGAGGGTGGGGCAGGAGGAAAGAGGAGTGATTGGTGGAATGATGAAGTAAAGGGTGTGATAAAAGAGAAAAAGGTAGCTTATGAGAGGTTTTTACAAAGCAGAAGTGTTATAAGAAGAGCAGAGTATATGGAGAGTAAAAGAAAGGTAAAGAGAGTGGTGAGAGAGTGCAAAAGGAGAGCAGATGATAGAGTGGGAGAGGCACTGTCAAGAAATTTTAATGAAAATAAGAAAAAATTTTGTGAGTGAGTTAAACAAGTTAAGAAAGCCTAGGGAAAATATGGATTTGTCAGTTAAAAACAGAGTAGGGGAGTTAGTAGATGGAGGTATTGGGTAGATGGCGAGAATATTTTGAGGAACTTTTAAATGTTAAGGAAGAAACAGAGGCAGTAATTTCATGCACTGGTCAGGGAGGTATACCATCTTTTAGGAGTGAAGAAGAGCAGAATGTAATTTGTGGGGGAGGTACGTGAGGCATTACGTAAAATGAAAGGGGGTAAAGCAGCTGGAACTGATGGGATCATGATAGAAATGTTAAAAGCAGGGGGGGATATAGTGTTGGAGTGGTTGGTACTTTTGTTTAATAAATGTATGAAAGAGGGGAAGGTACCTAGGGATTGGCAGAGAGCATGTATAGTCTCTTTATATAAAGGGAAAGGGGACAAAAGAGACTTTTAAAAATTATAGAGGAATAAGCTTACTGAGTATACCAGGAAAAGTGTACGGTAGGGTTATAATTGAAAGAATTAGAGGTAAACAGAATGTAGGATTGCGGATGAGCAAGGAGGTTTTAGAGTGGGTAGGGGATGTGTAGATCAGGTGTTTACATTGAAGCATATATGTGAACAGTATTTAGATAAAGATAGGGAAGTTTTTATTGCATTTATGGATTTAGAAAAGGCATATGATAAGAGTGGATAGAGGAGCAATGTGGCAGATGTTGCAAGTATATAGGAATAGGTGGTAAGTTATTAAATGCTGTAAAGAGTTTTTATGAGGATAGTGAGGCTCAGGTTAGGGTGTGTAGAAGAGAGGGAGACTACTTCCCGGTAAAAGTAGGTCTAGACAGGGATGTGTAATGTCACCATGGGTTTTTTAATATATTTATAGATGGGGTTGTAAAGGAAGTAAATGCTAGGGTGTTCGGGAGAGGGGTGGGATTAAATTTTGGGGAATCAAATTCAAATGGGAATTGACACAGTTACTTTTTGCTGATGATACTGTGCTTATGGGAGATTCTAAAGAAAAATTGCGAAGGTTAGTGGATGAGTTTGGGAATGTGTGTAAAGGTAGAAAGTTGAAAGTGAACATAGAAAGAGTAAGGTGATGAGGGTGTCAAAATGATTTAGATAAAGAAAAATTGGATATCAAATTGGGGAGGAGGAGTAGGGAAGAAGTGAATGTTTTCAGATACTTGGGAGTTGACGTGTCGGCGGATGGATTTATGAAGGATGAGGTTAATCATAGAATTGATGAGGGAAAAAAAGGTGAGTGGCGTTGAGGTATATGTGGAGTCAAAAAACGTTATCTATGGAGGCAAAGAAGGGAATGTATGAAAGTATATAGTACCAACACTCTTATATGGGTTTGTGAAGCTTGGGTGGTAAATGCAGCAGCGAGGAAACGGTTGGAGGCAGTGGAGATGTCCTGTTTAAGGGCAATGTGTGGTGTAAATATTATGCAGAAATTTCGGAGTGTGGAAATTAGGAGAAGGTGTGGAGTTTAATAAAAGTATTAGTCAGAGGGCAGAAGAGGGGTTGTTGAGGTGGTTTGGTCATTTAGAGAGAATGGATCAAAGTAGAATGACATGGAAAGCATATAAATCTATAGGGAAGGAAGGCGGGGTAGGGGTCGTCCTCGAAAGGGTTGGAGAGAGGGGGTAAAGGAGGTTTTGTGGTAAGGGGCTTGGACTTCCAGCAAGCGTGCGTGAGCGTGTTAGATAGGAGTGAATGGAGACGAATGGTACTTGGGACCTGACGATCTGTTGGAGTGTGAGCAGGGTAATATTTAGTGAAGGGATTCAGGGAAACCGGTTATTTTTCATATAGTCGGACTTGAGTCCTGAAATGGGAAGTACAATGCCTGCACTTTAAAGGAGGGGTTTGGGATATTGGCAGTTTGGAGGGATATGTTGTGTATCTTTATATGTGTATGCTTCTAGACTGTTGTATTCTGAGCACCTCTGCAAAAACAGTGATAATGTGCGAGTGTGGTGAAAGTGTTGAATGATGATGAAAGTATTTTCTTTTTGGGGATTTTCTTTCTTTTTTGGGTCACCCTGCCTCGGTGGGAGACGGCCGACTTGTTGAAAAAAAAAATTACGATTTAGCTAATATAGCAAATATATGCAATATAAAATTATATAACAGGTAATATACATTATATACATTGTGACCCATTCGGGGGTTGCAACAAAGGAGAACATCTCAGAATGCACAGAAAGACAGGTTCAGATTGAGAAGTTGGAAATAAGACAGACAGTCCTCGATGACTTTTTTGGGTTATCCTAGGTGACTAACCCTCCTCCAGGTTAAAAATCCAAATAAATTTATCTTAATCTCCTATACTTCGTATAATATTATAGCCAATAAGTTCATGTTATAAGTGAAGTTGGATAAAAAAAATTATTTCCATGAGTAATGTCTAGAATAATATAAGTTACCTAACCACATACCAAGAACAACTGTACTCACCCATTTGTGGTTGCAAGGGTCGAGACTGCTCCTGGCCCCGCTTCTTCACTAATCGCTACTAGGTCCTCTTCTTGCTCCATGAGCTTTATCATACGTTGTCTTAAAACTATGTATGGTTCCTGCCTCCACTACATCACTTACCAGACTATTCCACTTCCTGGCAACTCTATGACTAAAGAAATACGTACTTTCTAACATCTCTTTGACTCATCTCAGTCTTCAACTTCCAATAGTGACCCCTGGTTTCTGTGTCCCATCTCTGGAACATCCTGTCTCTGTCCATCTTGTCAATTCTTCACAGTATTTTGTGTCGTTATCATGTCTCCCCTAACCCTCCCATCCTCCAGCGTCGTCAGGGTGATTTTCCTTAACCTTTCATCGTAGGACATTCCCCTTATCTCTGAAACTAATCTTCTTGCAAGCCTTTGCACTTTCTCTAATTTCTTGACGTGGTTGACCAGGTGTGGGTTCCAAACTGGTGTTGAATACTCCAGTATGTGCCTGACGTACACAGTCTAGAGTCTTGAACAATTTCTTACCGAAGTATCAGAACGCTATTCTCAGGTTTGCCAGGTGCCCAAATGCTGCAGCAGTTATCTGGTTGATGCGCACCTCAGGAGATGTGCTCAGTATTATACTCACCCCAAGATCCTTTTCCTTGAGTGAGGTTTTCAGTCTTTGGCCACCTAGCCTATATTTTGCCTGCGGTCTTCTTTGCCCTTCTTCAGTCTTCAAAACTTTGCATTTGGCGAGGTCAAATTCAATGAGCCAATCGCTGGACCAAGCTTCCAGCTTGTCTAGGTCTCTTTGTAGTCCTGCCTGATCCTCATACGATTTAATTCTCCTCATTAACTTCACATCATCTGGAAACAGGGACACTTTTGAGTCTATCCCTTCTGTTATGTCATTCATATATACCAAAAATAGCACTGGTTCTAGGACTGACCCCTGTGGAACCCTGCTCGTCACGGGCCCACTCTGATATCTCGTCACGTACCATGACTCGTTGCCTCCTCGTCAGGTATTCTCTGATCCATTGCAGCGCCCTTCCTGTTATACGTGCCTGACCCTCTAGCTTTTGCACTATTCTCTTGTGAGGAAGTGTCGAAGGCCTTCTTGCAGTCCAAGAAAATGCAATCTACCCACCCTTCTCTCTCATGTCTTACTTCCATTACCTTGTCATAAAACTCCAGTAGGTTTGTGACACAGGATTTGCCTTTCATGAATCCATGCTGGTTGTCGTTCATGAGATTGTTCCGTTATATGTGCTCCTCCTCTCTCCTCCTGATAATCTTTTCCATGACTTTGCATACTATACACATCAGTGGCCTGGTCTGTAGTTTAGTGCCTCGCGTCTGTCTCCTTTCTTAAAAATTGGGAGTACATTTGGCGTCTTCCATACCTTTAGTAGTTGCCCAGTTTCAATGGATGTGTTGACAATTGTTGTTAGTGGCATACACAGCATCTCTGCTCCCTCTCTAAGGACCCAGGGAGAGATGTCCATTCCCACTGCCTTTGAGGTATCCAGTATGCAATGCCTGCATCAATTATCCTAAGATAACCTCAAAAATGTCTTCATAGACTAACCACATCCCAGAATGAACACTTTTATCAAGCAGCTCGACCCTAGGAATAAATCTGCACACTTGCATTACCCAACTTCATTTGAGCAAGAACACCTGTAAAAACTGACTTCATTTTGCGAGGTAAGGCCTGCCGACAAGCATTTTAGACCAAACCTTTACAGGAACAAAACCGATGAAGCTCTAACTAAATAGCTGTTCATCAGTTTTGCTCCACTTAGAGCAAAACGTAGTTGTAGTCTATAAATATGGAGATGTTTGCTCTGCACATACCTACCACATGACTTACTTTATCCCAGAGGGCACAGTTAAAGCCGAAGTTAACATGGAAGTACTGATGATGGTTGTCGTGGAAGATGCTATCTGGCTGCCACGGCTGCCACCACTGCGCCTTGAAGTTGATACCTGAATGGTCTATAATCCCATGGTAGTAGAGGTAGATCATCAGTGTCACGAACACACCTGTGATTGGCGATGTAGGAGTGAGCTGATCTGTACAGAGATCTATATGTGGATAGGGTTGATTACTAAGATACTATAAACTTATGAAGCACATTGTTAGTCATGTGGAAACTATGGGTGATAGGGATGGCCATTAGGAGGTTATAGGAAGGGGAAATAAGGGTCGAAGAGGCTATGGATAGATATTATCTCAGGAAAACTTAAAAAAAAAAAAGATAGGCTTCTGTGAGAAACCATAATTTTTAAAGGGGTGGACCTGTAAGCCAGCGGAAGGCCTCGGTCAGATGACCAAAAGCTCCAAAGGCGGGTCATCATCTGACTTAAGACCCGCGTCAGGAAACATTTGTCCTGTTTCCTGACGAACCTTACCTAACCTAACCTTCTGTGAGAATACAAACAATAAGACTGGGCACTGGAAGGACTTAGGGTCTAAACTGCAAAACCGTCTAATACAGGGGTTCCCAACCTGGAATGCACTCACCCCAAGGGGATGGGAGATGGCATTTCGGGTGGTGCGACAGTCCCACTGAAAAGCACAATTTCGTTTCTTTCACTAAAAACTTTTCTAATTTCTCAATTTATATTTGCATTTCATGCACTGCATTAAAAGCTTATTTCTTTTAGTTCAATTTGTTCACCCGCAGTACTGCATTTGGTTCAATTTATGATTGAAAATTGGATATCTGACTTCATGTTCAAATGTGATATTCCTTTTGTAAGGGGTGCAACATTAATTAAACATTTACTAAGGGTACGGGACACAGAAAAGGTTGGGAATCCCTTGGTCTAATACAAGGGGAAAAGAATGATTAGCAGGAGATTTTAGAGGAAAAGGATGTCAATTAAAAGATTATAGGCAATGATATGATGATAATAGAAAACTATTGACGACAGGGGTTGCGGAAAATAGGGTTGATCTCTAGAAGGCTTTAGGAATGTCTAGTTCCTATCAGACTATAAGCTAAAGCTGGTCACTAGAAGATTACCTGGAGTACCTGGAGTTTACCTGGAGAGAGTTCCGGGGGTCAACGCCCCCGCGGCCCGGTCTGTGACCAGGCCTCCTGGTGGATCAGAGCCTGATCAACCAGGCTGTTACTGCTGGCTGCACGCAAACCAACGTACGAGCCACAGCCCGGCTGGTCAGGTACCGACTTTAGGTGCTTGTCCAGTGCCAGCTTGAAGACAGCCAGGGGCCTGTTGGTAATCCCCCTTATGTATGCTGGGAGGCAGTTGAACAGTCTCGGGCCCCTGACACTTACTGTATGGGCTCTTAACGTGCTAGTGACACCCCTGCTTTTCATTGGGGGGATGTTGCATCGTCTGCCAAGTCTTTTGCTTTCGTAGTGAGTGATTTTCGTGTGCAAGTTCGGTACAAGTCCCTCTAGGATTTTCCAGGTGTATATTATCATGTATCTCTCCCGCCTGCGTTCCAGGGAATACAGGTTCAGGAACCTCAAGCGCTCCCAGTAATTGAGGTGTTTTATCTCCGTTATGCACGCCGTGAAGGTTCTCTGTACATTTTCTAGGTCAGCAATTTCACCTGCCTTGAAAGGTGCTGTTAGTGTGTAGCAATATTCCAGCCTAGATAGAACAAGTGACCTGAAGAGTGTCATCATGGGCTTGGCATCCCTAGTTTTGAAGGTTCTCATTATCCATCCTGTCATTTTTCTAGCAGATGCAATTGATACAATGTTATGGTCCTTGAAGGTGAGATCCTCCGACATGATCACTCCCAGGTCTTTGACGTTGGTGTTTCGCTCTATTTTGTGGCCAGAATTTGTTTTGTACTCTGATGAAGATTTAATTTCCTCGTGTTTACCATATCTGAGTAATTGAACGAAAGATGGGTCATTTGATGATTGGGGGAGTAGACTTAGTTAAAAGCTCCAGGACACAACCAACATTTATAACATTACTTTTTTGTGTGGAAAACAGTGAATGAGAGAGGTTAGGAACTGGTTGGAAAGAAAGAAAAGAGAATTAAGAAGGGATTAAGCAGGAAAAGCGAGGAAATTTTCAGCCTTAACCCAGTAGGAAGCCATAACGTAAGGGAGACTCACTCCAGTGGACTGGGAAGAGCACCATGGGACTGGCGAGGACTGCCTGCATGTGGAGGAACTCAACAGGGTGGATAGCGGTGACGCTGAAGGCGGTTGGGTGCTTGTACTTGTGGTGGAGCTTGTGGAAGTACTTGTAGACTAAGGGCAGGTGGTAGAAGCGGTGGTGCCAGTACGTTAGGTAATCCTGCAAATACAACAAAACATTCCACTCATCACATGATCAGACTCCGATAAAGTTTTAATACATATAAGATAGTTGACTTTTTCATTTACACTATGTTAGTTGTAAAGTATATGAAAACAGACATAACTATAAACTAGTTTACACTACCCATTATATACACCTAATTTCACCAAACCTAATCTAATTTCATAATAGAGATAAAACAATGAGCGACATTGTGGAATTCATCACCAAGTGAGAGTTCACACGAACAGATAATTATACAAATATAGATTTATTTATTAAAATATTATTAGATATTGAAAGTTTTAATAAATGAAGAATATTATTCAATGCGCATGTATTTTTTTTTCGAAAGTTGCACGTGTTTCTCCAGAAATATAACGTCATTCCGGTTTTTAGAATATGAAAATCTGTTAGTATAAAAAACTTCACAAAAAATCCGCGGTACGCCAAGTTGAAAAAAAAAAAACTGGCAATCGAACCCGGGTTCCTTCGGTTTATCATACCTGCCAAATAAAGACGAACGGCCAAGAGACAAAGTACCAGAACCAGCCGTGCTCAGCTACGTTGTAGTAGATGGTAGACCTTCCTCCATTCATGAGGTAGCAGGAGATGAGAGCAGACACGGAGGAACCCAGCAGGAGAGAGAAGGAGCCCAGCAGGATCTCGTGACGCTCAAGTTCCGGAGAGAGGAACTTGTGTGGCTGACATTTCCATTCCTCAGATCGGTCACGCTGACACACGTAATAATACCACTGGGAATTGAAACAAAACTTAGATTATGTTCTGCAGACCTTACGGATTCTTTTTCAAATTCAAATTCAAAGTTTATTCTCTCTAAGGATTACAATGTTGAGTTTACAGAAATTTGGTTATTGTGTGGTTTACATGTAGTAAAATAGTGATTACAGAGTGTACATAATCCTATGGGTTTAGTGCTTCCCCCTTGATTATAATAATAATAATTAGCATGGCTAGGCATTTCGGGCAGACTTAGTTTTATTCTTAATTGTAAAATATTACAAATTATGAGGTAAGTTGGTATTATGGCTAAGTGACTAAATACTAGTTTGTGAGTTTAGCAATGTGAATGCTTTTGTTTTGGCACAGTACATATTTCAGTATTGGAGTACACAGATTCATTATTTTAAGATTGAGATTAATTATTCCCGTTATGTTTAATGAGTCAGTGAGTGTAAGTGTGAACCACCAGTGGTATTCGTGTAGTTAGTTGAAGGGTTATCAGGGAGAAAAAATGTTTTCTTAATGGTTTTTTGAGGTGATGAAAGTTCTGCATTTAGAGTTTCAGGTAGGGTATTCCAGATTTTTTGGCCTTTACTACATTTAATTTTTGTAAAGGGGTTTTTCGGACACGGGAATTTGTGAGAGTTTGGCTGGTGTTATGCCTGTGGGTTCTGTCACAACTTCAAAAAGCGTTTTAGGTCAAGGTTGATATTAGAGTTTAAGGCCCTGTAGATGTAGATTGCACAGTAGTAAGTGTGGATTTACTGAACAGGGAGTAAGTTTGGGTCTATGAAGAGTGGGGGGGTGTGTTGCCAGGGATGGGATTTAGTGATTATTCTTACTCCAGCTTTTTGTTGGGTTATTATTGGCTTTAGGTGTGTTGCTGCAGTTGATCCCCAAGTACAAATACATGGGTGAGGTATGGATAAATAAGTGGATGGTATAGTGTGAGAAGGGAAATTTTGCGGCACGTAGTATCGTATCTTGGAGAGATCCCAACCGTTTGGATACTTTTTTGGTTATATCCCTGGATATGGGTGCTGAAATTCAGGTTGTTGTCAAGGTATAGGCCTAGGAATTTGCCCCCATTATTTCTGGTAATTAGAGTGTTGTCATCTTAATTTTAAATTTGTGCATCTCCTGCTCTGCTACCAAACATAATATAGTAGGTTTTGTCAGTGTTAAGCGAATTTTTATTGCTGTCATCCAAGTCAAATATTTTGATCAGCTCCTCATTCACAGTGGTTTGAGGGTGGCAAGATTAGGGTGAGAGATGACATAAGTCGTGTCGTCAGCAAAGAGAATGGGTTTCAGGTGTTGGAAACATTTGGAAGGTCATTAATGTATATGAGGAAGAGCGGGGGACCAAGGACACTTCCCTGCGGAACTCCATATCAGGGCCGTGTTGCTGCTGCTGTGTCTTTAATGGTGACATACTGATACCTATTAGTAATGTAAGATTTGAAATAAGCAAGCGCATGGCCTCTTATACCGAATGATCAAGTTTGTGGAGTAGGATGTCGTGGTCTACTGTGTCAAAAGCTTTTCTTAAGTCAATAAAAATTCCTAGTGGATATTCCTTTATTTTCCAATGCTGTGTAAAGCAGATCTAGCATTTTTATGATTGCATCTTTATGCTTTTATTTTTCCTGAATCCAAATTGGCAGGGTTGAGTATGTTTTGAGCCGTTATAAATGAGTACAGTCTCCTGTGCACGAGTTTCTAAAAGATTTTGGATAGCAATGGTAAGTTAGATATTGGCCTATAGTTGTTTAAGTCTGTAGGGTCACCACCTTTATGTATTGTGTAACCTTGGGCATCTTGAGTAGTTTGGGGAAGGTGCTAGTCTCTAGTGACTTGTTAAAGAGTAATGAAATAGCATGCGAAAGGACATGGGCCGCTCGCTTGTACAGTAATGGTGGGACATGAGACAGATTCCCCTATTATTTTTAAGTGACTTTATAATCTGGGTGACTTCCTTTGGGCCAGTTGGTGCAAGATAAAAGGGAATTAGGGAAATTCCCATCTAGGTAGTCCCCGGGATGGGCATTGGTATGTGGGATTTACTGGCGAGATTAGATCCTAGGTTGAGAAGAAGTCGTTTATCTTGTTAGCTGTGTCAGTGGGATGTATGGTTTTCATTAGGTTTAGTTAGGACAAAATTCTTGGTTTTTCTCAGTTTTTTGGGGCCCTAGAATCTGAGAGAGTGTTTTCCAGGTCTTTTTTATATCTCCTCTAGTGTCGTGAATCTACTGGGGTAGTATAGTTGTTTGGCTTTCTTTATTACTTTGGTGAGAGCTGATGAATATGTTTTTAAAAATATCTTTGTGTATTAAGCCTTGTCTATATTGCTTTTCATATTGTGTTTCTTGCAATGGATTTCAGAATGGTGCTGTTAGCCATGGGCAACCAAGCCGTTTGTTTTGTGATCTGTTTTGCTTTTATAGGACAATGTTTTTTGTAAAAGTCTAAGTAATTTGTTAAAAAAATGTCTGTCCAGTCATCAATACCATTGGCCTTGGAGAATTCGTAGGCCAGTCAACAGTCTCTAGGTCAGCTGTGAACTTCCTTACTGAGGCTTTGTCATGGAGTCTAAATGAGACTTTGTTATATTCAAGTGGTGGTTTACTAAAGGGTTTTTCAGGAGGAAGGTAGGGTAGTGGTCTGTAGTGCTATCTGTGATTATCCCTGATTTAAGGGGGGCTAGTATATTGGTCCCTATGTGGTCTATTATGGTTGCACTTGTCTCAGTGACCTGTTGGTTTACTTATGTTGGTATGAAGAAGTGTGTTGTTCATATTGTTGATGAAATCAGTTACCCGGCTGATCATCTAGTAAGCCAAGGTTGATGTTGAAGTCTCCAGCTAAGAGAAGGTGGTGCTTATTCATTTTCTGTTTTTATTAGTGACTTTAATTTCTCACTGGAAATTTGGGATGTTTGTGTGAGGTATCCGGTAAATGGCACCCATTGTTTTTTAGGCGTCTTAAGGTTTTTTACAGTAAAAATTTGCAAAAATGTATTCCCCATATTCATCACTATAGCAAGTGGTGCTAATACAAGATAATTGGTTTGAGTAATAGATTGCAATACCCCCCCCAACTTGGTTTGGTCTGCATTGTGAATTGCTGTGTATCCTGGTAGAGGGTAATATCTATTGTGTCCTGCTTAATCCAGGGCTCAGTAAGAATAATCAGGAGAAGGGGTTCTTAGTGATTCAAGGAGTGCTAGGAGGTCATCATAGTGTTTGCTTAAGGATCTGACGTTGTAGTTAAGTACTGATAGACTTTTAGCATTGTTTAGGATAGTGCTGGCTTTTTGATGCTGTGTAATAAAGGCAGTTACTTTCCAATAGGTTTTGATTGGGTGTCAGATTATGGAGGTTTAGATCAGGGTCAACGTGATCAATCATCTTCTAGGTTTAAATTATGGTTATTTATATCCTGAGTTGTGTGTTGAGTTCTAGTACTGATATCTGTAGTGGTAGGAAGTTTGGACAAGTATATAGCTAGAGTATTTTGGTCATGTAGAGTATAGTCACTACTACACATAATGAAGTTGATGTTGTCTATGTGTTGTGCTGGAATGAACTAAAGTACAACTAGGTATAAACTAGTAATATAAAAATACAAATTAAAAATAGAACAAGACTCTCACTTGTAATTGCACTAAGGTCTAATAATGACTTTTGTGGAGTCTATGTTTTGAGCTAGAATGAGCTATAGTACAATAGGTTTAATTTAATACTATAAAAATACAAATTAAAAATGTTCACACTCAAAGCATGTGTTTAGTAAATCCATTAAGCATCAAAACAGTCGTATAATAATTAGTGAAGAGTTTAGTGGTTATTTCAGTGCAGCAAAATCACCCATTCCTCAAGCTATAGGCAGTGGTAACTAAAAATATCAGCTACAGAAAAAGAAACAGAATACAAATAAGATGGTGTATGGATGATTTAACCTAGAGATGTTATTATATATATATATATATATATATATATATATATATATATATATATATATATATATATATATATATATATATATATATATATATATATATATATATATATCAATAACAACACTTCAACTAGCCAAGGAGTCGAACCCATGCTGTTTTGGCCTGCCTCATGGTGGGCGAAAACTCATGACGCCTTAATCCACGGGACCACACAGTCCTCAAGAGTAGCGTATTCAGCAGAACTGGATGTTGTACTCGCTACCCAAGGACATACGTTTGTGTGGATGACTCTAGGCTAATTTCATTCTACTACCTGTTTGGTGTACCAGTACAACTAGCAGTATTTACTTGCCGCTTGTCAAATTTACTCTGTGCGTGTGGATGGGTATGGAATGCAGACATGCAATAAAGATATTTAACAATGTGCGTTTGGAATGAAATCATTATCTTGTATGACTGTAAGCATAAAAAATGATATTGCAGTGAAAAAAAATACATATCTGAGCATTTCCGTGTACTTACACACACATCTTCAGAGGAGTAAAATTGAAAAATCTAATGAAGCACCTTTTATTGGTTCCTAAGTAAGGTAACTTCCCCAAATCTCCTCACGTAGGAACTTCTCAAGCATGGACTGTTAACCCCAGCTACCTGACCTTGCTTATGTCGAGGGACCCGTAAGGCCCAGGGCTCTTTTTCCAGCCCAAAACGAGAGACTGCTCCCAAAATCTGAAAGGCACATTCCAGTGATTTTCTCTCTATACAATTTCGAGGTTATCAAAGAATAAATAGCAAGGCTTTGTCCCTGTCTTGCATTCCAACCCGCTACATCACAGTTTTTTTTTTTTTTTTTTTTTTTTTTTTTTTTTTTTTTTTTTTTTTTTTTTTTTAGGAAGAAAAGGGTATGAATATTTTGTAGGAAAGGTGTAAGTAGAGTTTGAACTTGATTGCTATTGCAACCACTACTACTATTACTACTACTACTACTACTACTACTACTACTACTATTACTACTACTATTACTACTATTACTACTATTACTACTACTACTACTACTACCACCCCCACCACCACTACTACTACTATACCCTAGGTGGTCCCCTGAGACACTTGTATCTAAGTGAACGTGAAAATTCTTTCCTAGACAATGTGGTGAACGTATATACTGTATTAATCAGTCTGCCGTTGCGGTGCGCGGGGCTAAACTTCTCCCATTTTCTCTATAATACAACTGAATTAAAAATAGCATCTCAGAGGAAATTTGTATGCAATAAAGCGTACAAACTGCATTAATATATGTAATTTGGAAACAAAACATAAAAAATCACTTACGATAAATGTCAAAAATTCAACGACTAAAATACGATACTGGAGTAAAAATATGATGAAATATAAACGTAGAAAAGACACATGATGAAGAATAAGATATTTCTGAGATTACGTTTTGTTTAGAATAGAGATTTATCAAGTCATGACTTGCTAAAGCTACACAAAGCGAAACGTTGCCCCGAGAAAAGTTTGTTCCACAGTGTGTGTCTTTTCTTTACTATCCTCAGTAGTACGATATTTGTATCCAGTAATTCTGGATGTTGACTAACATGAAGGAAGCCGCCGATGCCGAAGTAGAAGGTGTAGGAGATCGAGGTAGCAGCGAGCCAGTAGTAACCCAAGCCCTGCAGCCTGTAGTGTGCCAGGCTCGCCTCCAGGAAGCCTGAGTCAGTGCTGTTGTTGGCGCCAACAGAGTCCTTGTCTCCATACCCGACAGCCTTCAGGAAGTGCACCACGATCTGCAACCACTCACCTGAAACACAGATATAACAATCTTGTTGACGTTTGACAAAATAAGTGATTACAATAAAATGAAACTCGAGTACCCGCTTTTCAGGCGCTGTAGAGATATAATAGAATATCCATATTCCAAGACTCGTGTGGTAGAGGGTGCAAACGATCTTGGTGATAACCCTCCCCACCCAACGAAGGATGTGACATAAAAATCTCGAGACTAGAAGTGTTACGCTGTTAATGTAATTATAAGATAGCATATCCATTATTATCATGAAGACTGTCAGCTATATCTTTTTCACATCTAAGTAACGCACTATATGCTATCAAACAGGTTATATAGATTCTGAAAACACAAAACCCTACCAGGAAACATTTTTTGAGTATGAAATCAATCAGATCAAACATTAACATTAAAGAATCTTAGAGCACAGAGACTTCAAATAATGTAATTACCATCATAAACTATGAAGTAGCCCGCTTGATAAAGTACTTGCAGAAACTAGAACATTCAACGTTTTACAACTGCACTTGTCCCAGTGCTGAGAGACATGCACTACAAGATATTAATTTTACAATTGATTGGTTAAAAGCTAAAAACTGATATATAAAAAATAAGGATTGAACAAAATATAGTCAAGTTTTATTTAAGCTAGTGCAACAGACATAGCCCCACTCCACAAAGGTGGCAGTAAAGCAATAGTAAAGAACGACAGACCGATAGCACTAACATCCCATATCATAAAAATCTTTGAAAGGGTCCTAAGAAACAAGATCGCCACCCATCTAGATACCCATCAATTACACAACCCAGGCAACATGGAGCTTGGTATTTCTAGTATCAGTGATAGGATTGTTGAAATTAACACTGTACTCGGTATTAGAATGTTGAGAAACGAACCAGACACTGTCACAGTGAATCTTACCAAGTGTCTAGAGGTAAATACACACAGATCTAAATGGATTGTGGAAACGTGCAATTGCATTAAGTTTTATAACCTACATGAACTGTATCACTGTAGGAAACAAGAGCATTTCACCCCTCCATGGAAGATGTGTTCATTTAATATCACATACCTACAAGTCCCTCCCAAGAAGCTCATTGCTAGTAATCCCTTCCTTAAATCTCTTGTTAGAGCAACTGCTCAAGAAGAAATTTCTCACCTAGCTGGTAGTAATAAGTTATCACACTGATGGATCTAAACAGGAGTCTTCTGGCAGGGCTGCATCTGCTCTTGTTGCCACCTCCCTAGTTAAGAACGATAATAAATTTGTTGAGTTAGGCATAAGAATTAACAACTTGGCGTCTACACTGCAAACTGAATTGTTTGCAATCCTAATGGCGCTAAAGCTAACCTATGACACTGAGCTTGACTCTATCATCATTACTGATTCTATGTCATCATTGAAGGCTCTTGACTCATATAATGACTCCAACAACATGCTCATTGGGGAAGCCAGGTATAGATACTCAAAAATTAGGGACAAAGGAATTAATGTACAATTGCTATGGATCCCATCACACATTGGATTACTCCTTCATGATAAAGTTGATATGTTAGCCAAGAAGAGTACCCAGAAGGAGAATGTAGAATATAACTTTGGTATAACTGTGTCTAGCATTAGGAATAATATTAGGAGAGAAGTAAATAATGAAAATGATTGTTATAGGAATGCAGATAGAAGCCTGAGTAGATCTATAACCCACTATGATAACATGAACGTAGATAAGTATGTTTATGGAGCAACTTGCAATGTGAACAGACTGACTGATGTTGTAGTGACCAGGCTTAGGCTTGGTTACAAGTACTTCTGGCAGTTTGGGAGACACACAGATGATGATCAAACTAAATGTAAATTATGTGATCAGGCATATGGTCACTCTCTTGAACACTATGTGCTTAATTGTCCGCTTATTGAGGAATACAGAGACAGACAGTATAATAACCTATGTGACATGACAAGATATCTTATTAATGAAAATAAGATACCAGATATACTAAGCAAATTTCCTAAATTTGATTGTAACAGATAAGTGAACTAGGCCTTTTGTGTATCCACATGCTCTCGCGCTACCGTCCACAGGATGGATATGGGGTGCACAATAAACTAGCCACTTCGGTGGCAAAATCTAAATCAAGGGCAACATGGGTTTAGAGCAGGTCGCTCCTGACTGTCCCAACGACTGGATCACTACAACAAGGTCCTAGATGCACTAGAAGACAAAAAGAATGCAGATGTAATATATACAGACTTTGCAAAAGCCAACGCCAAGAGCGACCATAGCGTAACAGCGCACAAAATGCGTGATAAAGGAATAACAGGAAAAGTTGGTAGATGGATCTATAATTTCCTCGCAAAGAGCACAAAGAGCAGTAGTCAACAGAGTAAAGTCTGAGGCAGCTACGGTGAAAAGCTCTGTTCCGCAAGGCACAGTACTCTCTCGCATCTTGTTTCTCATCCTCATATCTGACATAGACAAGGATGTCAGCCACAGCACCCTGTCTTCCTTTGCAGATGACACCCGAATCTGCATGACAGTGTCTTCCATTGCAGACACTGCTAGGTTCCAGGCGGACATCAACCGAATCTTTCAGTGGGCTGCAGAAAACAATATGAAGTTCAACGATGAGAAATTTCAATTACTCCGATATGGTAAACATGAGGAAATTAAAACTTTATCAGAGTACAAAACAAATTCCTTCCACAAAATAGAGCGAAAAATCAACGTCAAAGACCTGGGAGTGATCATGTCGGAGGATCTCACCTTCAAGGACCATAACATTGTATCAATCGCATCTGCTAGAAAAATGACAGGATGGATAATGAGAACCTTCAAAACTAGGGATGCCAAGCCCATGATGACACTCTTTAGGTCGCTTGTTCTATCTAGGCTGGAATATTGTTGCACACTAACAGCACCTTTCAAAGCAGGTGAAATTGCTGACCTAGAAAATGTACAGAGAACCTTCACGGCACTCATAACGGAGATAAAATACCTCAATTACTGGGAGCGCCTGAAGTTCCTGAACCTGTACTCCCTGGAATGCAGGCGGGAGAGATACATGATTATATACACGTGGAAAATCTTAGAGGGACTATTACCAAACTTGCACACGAAAATCACTCACAACGAAAGCAAAAGACTTGGCAGACGATGCAACATCCCCCCAATGAAAAGCAGGGATGTCACTAGCACGTTAAGAGACCATACAATAAGTGTCAGGGGCCCGAGACTGTTCAACTGCCTCCCAGTATACATAAGGTACCGAACTTGCACATGAAAATCACTCACTACGAAAGCAAAAGACTTGGCAGACGATGCAACATCCCCCCAATGAAAATCAGGGGTGTCACTAGCACGTTAAGAGATCATACAATAAGTGTCAGGGGCCCGAGACTGTTCAACTGCCTCCCAGCATACATAAGGAGGATTACCAACAGACCCCTGGCAGTCTTCAAGCTGGCACTGGACAAGCACCTAAAGTCGGTACCTGACCAGCCGGGCTGTGGCTCGTACGTTGCATTGCATGCAGCCAGCAGTAACAGCCTATTTGATCAGGCTCTGATCCACCAGGAGGCCTGGTCACATACCGGGCCGCGGGGGCGTTGACCCCCGGAAGTCTCTCCAGGTAAACTTCAGGTAAATTGTAATATGAACCTAAGTTCAGATCTTTATAAACTAGATACATTCATTACTAATGAAATTTGTGAAAGATTTTAGCAAAGTTGACAAATCAGTTGGCACTTCACCTGACTTTGTCATATGACAAAGTCAGGTTTGCCGAATCCAGCACTGAAAGTCAGAGGTCACTGCTACCACATCCTGATACGGGGCCGTCGGCTACCAAAACTTTATGTCCTTAGAAACAGTCTTGTTAGCCCCTTCTTTCCTACCAGTGAATCCATTGAATGGGTCATCTCATGACAAAGATCCATGTCAGCTCTTTCTACCAACAGATAACAATAACATATGTGAGACACAGACCCGCACAGTTTTCCTGATTATAGGTCACCTATTGCTAGACTGCCAGATGGCACTGTCAGATACCAATCACCATCTTCCACCTCCACTAATCCACGATCCAGTCAAATTCGATGCCTCTCTAGTATTCCTTGGGATGTAATTTTCAAGGTCTGCTTATATCTATTTTAATTGCTAGTCCACTCACACAGTAAGCGTAAGGAGTGAAGTAATTAAGGGCTCTACAACATATAATGAATTTACCGAGAGTGATCTTGTGATATCGAGGCCACAACTAAGCAAACATTGTCTCGAGGAAACATTTCAAAGCTATTAATTAGCCATTTAGCAAATCATTTTAATTAGGGATTAAATATTTTGTTTACCTATATAATCATATATAAATTACCTAAACCCGACATAAAAGTGCAACAGTTGATGAAGCTGTCATATATTTCTCAATTAATTACCATTATGAAATAAATTGAACGAGTCATATCTTGCAGTGCCATTACGCGTAGTATTTAAACCCCTATATAATGAGTGAAGTTTTTTAATTCAAGGTCTTTGTACACGTCAGTGTGCATAATACTTTAAATTGTGTTGATTCCTTAGTCACACGGTACTCTCTTCCATAAATTATGTATGCTGATAGCTCTGTACAGAAACTGGAGCAGCATCAACAAGTGGGATTCTGTCCTTTAAACTGAGCTGTTTGATATACTCCTTGCACTTAAATGCGTCCGTGTACTATTTAAGGCTGTAAACCATACCACGAGAGGGGTTTGAACCCGCGGTCAGAGAGTCGCAAAACTCCAGACCGTCGGGTTAGCGACGGTCTGGTTTGTTTGCAATCGTGTCGTTGCGATTTCGTGAGTCAGTTAAGGTTGATACCTTAATTGTAACAGATTCTTTATCATCAGTAAATATTCTTAACTCCGTGAATGTCAGTTGTGGTATGTTTATGTCAGAAGCCAGACAGTAGAGTCAGAGAACACCTATGTATTCCATCTCGCATTGATCTTCAAATGCATGATATAACTGATGACCTGGCAAAAGCATATGCCTTCAACGAGGAAGCAGATTACAATCGTTCGCTGTCAACTAATAGCTTGAGAACAGTAATACGAAAAGAGCTTCTGTTGAACTTCATTGATTTGAGACTAAGGGAGACTGATAATAGTCAGTTCAAGTGTCATTCAATCATGCAGGAGCCACATGTCTACGGTTCACCCAACAAAATCAGTAGACTCTTGGATGTCGCTACTACCAGGTCCCGGCTGGGATACAGGCGCCTCTGGAAGGTTGCGTCACCAGCTGATATTAATAATAATAATAATAATAATATATTTATTTCTACAAGTACACATGTACAAGGTATACAGGCCTAGCTGATATCTATGACATACTGCTATACAGAAACCCCCTTGTTATGCAAGGCCTTTCGGTCCCAGGATGCGACCCATACCTGTCCGCTGACACTCAGTTAGTTTAATATGTTTATTATGCACCCCATTCCCATCCTGTGGGCGGTAGTCAAAAGATTACAGAGGTACATAATTGGTCCAGGGACTGGACTCCAAAGTTTTGATAGCTGAGCAAGTTACAGAGGTAATGAACTCACAATTTACAAAGGTAATGAACTCACAATTTACAAAGGTAATGAACTCACAATTTACAAAGGTAATGAACTCACAATTTACAAAGGTAATGAACTCCAGGTAGGTCTGGTCACAATCATGACAAGTTACAAAGGTATTTACAGATTACATAGGTACGTAATGGGTCCAGGGACTGGGCCCCCAAAGTTTTGATAGCTGAACTAGGTACAAAGGTAATGAGCTCACAAGTTACAAAGGTAATGAATTCTGTAAGAATGGTTACTTACGTTTATACATGGCTACAATCATGAACAAATTATAGTGTAATGAGCAATTCACACTTCCACACCGGTCACAACTGTAGTGAGTTATTGGTGCAAATATTGATTGTTGAGTCACACACACACACACACACACACACACACACACACACACACACACACACACACACACACACACACACACACACACACTGACACTGACACTGACACTCACACTGACACTGACACTCACACTGACACTGACACTCACACACACACACACTCACACACTCACACACTCACACACACACACACACACACACACACCACACACACACACACACACACACACACACACACACACACACACACTTTAGTTTAATATCTTTATTATGCACCCCATACCCATCCTGTGGGAGGTAGTCAAAAGATTACAAAGGTACATAATGGGTCCAGTGACTGGACCCCAAAGTTATGATAGCTGAACTGGTTACAAGGGTAATGAACTCCAGGTAGATCTGGTCACAATCATGGCAAGTTACAGAGGTAATGAATCAGCCTCACTCCTATACATGGTTACAGTCATGAACAAATTACAAAGTAATGAACCACTGATACGTCCACACCTGGTCACAATTGTAATGAGTTATAAATACAAATATTAAGTGGATCATACACCCACACTAGCGCGCGCGCACATACACACACGAGGGCGCACGCACGGACATGTGCACACGAGCGTACAAATATATGCATACACACAAGGACGCACACCCACACGCACACACACACCCACACACACACCCACACCCACACACCCACACCCACACATACACCCTCACACACACCCACACACACACCACCCACCCACACACACACACACACACACACACACACACACACACACACACACACACACACACATACACACACACACACACATGGTAATGCATTATTTACAGCTAGCAAAGTCAGGGTATTTCTCCAGAATGGTCTGTAATATACCACTGTGGATAAAATACTTTGCCATTTCTTGAACATTTCTGAGTGAGTTGTTTCTAAATTCATTAATCTGATCACACTCCAGTACATAATGACGCAAGGTGTGACAATAGTCCATCTGGCAAAGTTTACATTTCATTTGGTGGTACATCTGGTGGTGTTGATTTTAACCTGCCAAAGATACTTGTAACCCAGCCGGAGCCGGGCAGTAGTGACATCCAAGAGTCTGCTTATCTTGTTGGATGCACCATAGACATGTGGCTCCTCCTGCATGATGGAATGATGATAGATGGACTGACTTGTGTCAATCTCCCTAAGTCTTAAGCAATAAAGTTCATTTGAAGTTCTTTTCGTATTATTGTTCTCAAACTGCTAACTGACAACCCAAGATTGTAATCTACCCCTCTTTGAAAGCATACAGCTTAGCCAATTTATCAGTTCTATCATGCATCTGAAGACCAATGTGAGGTGGAATCCACAGCATGTGCACTCTGACTCCACTGTCCACAATCTTACCATACCTATGTCTGGCTTCTGACACAAGCATGCCACAATTTATACTTAATGAGTTGAGAGCATTTATGGATGGCAGAGAATCAGTTACAATTAAAGTGTCAACCTTAGATACATGGACACATTTGAGTGCAAGGAGTATAGCAAACAGTTCTGTTTGAAGGGTAGAGGCCCAGTTATTGTTGCGTGCTCCAATTTCTTTATGAGAGCCATCACTCTGTGTGACAACAGCAGCACTACCAGCTGCACCAGTGGACTGGTGAACAGAACCATCAACGTAAATAATTTGTGAAAGATTGTTCTGTGTGACTTATCAATACAGCTTAAGGTATCATGTTTGGCTTCAAGACGAAGCTTTGGTTGTGATTTAAGAAGAGTTTTGGGGGGAAATGAAGGAATGGTAGTTTGGAATGGGGTAATATCCCATGGAGCAGGGAAATGTCTCTGTTGTCTAACTTGATATAGATCATGTAGCTGGTTCATGCGGTTCGTTTTTTACTGACGGGTGAACAGGGATAACAGATGTAAGGAAACACGCCCAATGCTTCCACCCTTGCCGGGAATCAAACCACGGACCCTCAGCGAATGAAGCGAAAGCTTTGCCTACCAGGCCACATAATTAAACGTAAACTTTGTCACACCTTACGTCATTATGTGCTGGAGTGTGAAAAAAAAGATGGATTCGGAGACAACACAAAAATATTCAATAAATGTCAACGTATTTTATCTAAAGTGGTATATTACCGGCCAATCTAGAAACAAACACTGACTTTGCCTATTGTAAATTACCCATAACCACCTAAACTTTCTTAAATTCAACCATATCTTGCTAAAATATAAGGTAATATAAATAATTCAGAGCCACATATAAACTACACTACAATATTTTATGACTATACTCATGTCTGCATAAATAACTCATTACGACTGAAGCGAGACATGAACATGTAAACAGTTCATTACTACTGTAACTTGCTTAGCTATCAGAACTTTGAGGACCATTCCCTGGACCCATTATGTGGACCATTCCCTGGACCCATTATGTGCCTCTGCAATAGGAAGACACGGCGCTGTGGCTTATGTCCATGTATATGTCTGATATGAGGATGAGGAAGAAGATGGGAGCGAGTACTGTGACTTGTGGAACAGAGATTTTTCGTCGTAGTTGCCTCAGACTTTACTCTGTTAGCTACTACTCTTTGTGTTATATTTGTTAGGAAATAATAGATCCATCTACCAACTTTTCCTGTTATTCCTTTATCACGCATTTTGTGCGCTATTACACCGTGGTCACATTTGCCAAAGGCTTTTGCGAAGTCTGTGTATATTACATCTGCATTCTGTTTGTCTTCTAGAGCATCCAGGACCTTGTCATATTGATCCAGTAGTTGGGACAGACAGGAGCGACTTGCTCTAAACCCATATTGCCCTGGGTTGTGTAACTGATGGGTATCTAGATGGGTGGTGATCTTCCCTCTTAGAACCCTTTTAAAGATTTTTATATGAGACGTTAGCGCTATCAGTCTGTAGTTCTTTGCTATTGCTTTACTGCCACCTTTGTGGAGTGGGGCTGTGTCTGTTGTTTTTAGTAACCGTGAGACGACCCCAGTGTCCATGCTCCCTCTCAATAAAATGTTAAAACCACGTGATAGGGGCTTACCTGGGGTTTACCTGGAGAGGGTTTCGGGGGTTAACGCCGCCGCGGCTCGGTCTGAGACCAGGCCTCATGGTGGATCAGAGTCTGATCAACCAGGCTGTTACTGCTGGCCGTACGCAAGCTGACGTACGAACTACAGCCCGGCTGTGGTTCGTAATCCCCCTTATATATGCTGGGAGGCAGTTGAACAGTCTTGGGCTCCGGACACTTGTTGTGTTGTCTCTCAATGTACTCGTGGCACCCCTGCTTTTCATCGGGGGAATGTTGCATCTCCTGCCAAGTCTTTAGCTTTCATAGGGAGTGATTTTCGTGTGCAGGTTTGGTACCAATCCCTCCAGGGCCTTCCAAGTGTATATTATCATGTATCTCTCTCGCCTGCGTTCGAGGGAATACAGATCAAGGACCTTCAACCGTTTCCAGTAATTTAGGTGCCTTATCGTACTTATGTGTGCCGTGAAAGTTCTTTGTACACTCTCCAG